CTTCAAGTGGATCAGCTACTGAACAGTGTCGTGCAAAGCACAAATTAAATTTATATATTTTTGCACATGTTTGCACTTTGAGTCATTTTGAGGTAGATTTTTCACTAAAACCAACTGGAAGTAATACCCCCCTTGCCAGGTACATCGATTCATTTTGGTGAAAAGATTTCTAGGAGGTGAAAATCATCTGTTGCAGATCAGCGACCTGGGTTTCAGGGCACCAGTTGTTTAGCAAATGCAATAAAATTGGCATCTTTGAAGACAGTAAAGTTGACAAGAGAGTTTGGCATTATGTGACTATGTGCATTCACTTCAGGAATCCTTTGGAAAGAGTTTTTCACCTCAGTTGACACACCAGGAATCCTTTGAAGGATTTGAGGTGGGGTGTTGCCCAATCTTCGATGTTTTGCATTAAGATTTTATACCAATCTTAAGAAAATCCTGTGAAGGATTACTGGAACCTTCCTTAAGATTTTCTCAAGCCTATGAAGAAATTCTTCAATCCTGTGAAGGATTTTCGAATTCTGTGAGGGATTCACTTCAAGTTTTTATAAAAACAACAACATCTAAACACCAAAACAAGACACCTTAAAAAGACACCTTAAATTAGCGAGCCTAGACTCCTTAAATTTTTTATATCAAACTCATTAAATAAGGGGTCCAACTAAATAAGGGGTATTGGAGGGTCAGGGGGCAAAAGCATTCCCAAGCTATTCTAAAAGCGATGGCATCAACACACGCTGACGAAATTGAGCTTGTAAGGTTGTCCATGACGTTACCGGGATCAGAAACAAACCAAGAGGAAGGTGTACCTGGCGCTTGCTCGACCCGTCCTGCACCTACACTCTACACGCATGGAACGTTCTGAGATGTACCCCCTGGAAAAATGCAATTGCCTAGGGACGATACGTCAGAAATTGTATTTTTCCAATTGCATTGTAAAAGTGTCTACTTGGACGCCAGGGCATCTAAATCAACTTGGTACGCCGCGCTCTTTGTGGTGAATTATCCTTGAAGACAACTTCTGACTTTCTGATTTATTAAACTGTCGTTCTCGACTTGAACAGCCAGGCTTGAGCCTTTGCCCACATTCTGTAGACTGTAGACATGTTTGCAAACACAAATCAAGAACGGAACGCACTCACAAAACATCACTTCAGCAGCCACATCCGACATCCTACCTGGTTGGATGTCGGATGTGGCCATGCGCGAGCAGACGTGCTAAAACAACCTTTGAGATCCTCCAAGGTTTTGAACCGAATCTGACATCCAAGAGTAGGATGTGGTCTCGGATGTGGCTTTTAACTAGCTTGAGTTCTCTTCGCTCAAGCAAAGGGGTTAGCTTGAGGGGATTCACAAATCGAAGTAAATCCAAAACAGTTGGCAGTAAAAAAAAAGGCAGCGCTTGTCCATTGAGGGAGGGTCCAGGCGATTGTTCGCTGGGGGATCGGTGTTTTTCCATAGAGTGCGCGCACTTATGCCACCACGATGGTTCATAATCTTTCTACAGATTTAAGTACCATCGAATAAATGCAATCAAGGTCACCCCACGTCCAACAAATGCAATTTGGAGACCCCCACGTCCATGCCACTTAAGGGGGGCACATGTTCTGAGCTTTGAAAAGCGGTGATGTGGATCTTGGAAAACTAACAATTTACGCACCAATTTCCTTGAAATCCATGTCTACACAGATTCCCAACACGCTGACGATATATGTCTCAAAGTTGCTTGCGGTGTACTAGATGAGCCAATACGCAAGATGGCTAAATAATTACTAATCGTGACTTAGTCCTACGCATGCATACTCACCGCTTGGAATTCAAATAAATTCCGAATATATAATGTGGAATCACATCGAAGAAAAAAAGAGACCACTGACTGGCTGGCGAGACCTTCGTAACATGTCCACCATTGCTATTCCATATTGAACTAGCCGTTTACCTTCGAGCCATATGCTACATGAGGTCTTGCCAGTTCGCCTTCCTTGATGTGCGATCCTTTTCGCTGTTCATGCGTTTTCATTTTTGGGTAGTACGCGGCTTACCCGTCTATTATTTGTTTATTCACGCTGTACATAGCTACCTTTTTTTTGCCTGAGCATTTGTGGTTCTTCTTCATGTTGCATTTTCACTTAGTGTTTCACACCCGCTCACGAGCCAGAGATGTTTAAACTGCGTTGGGGGGAGGTTTGAACCCTAAGCCCTAAGCCCTGGTAGGTTGATCTCCTTGGTGTTTTTTTTGCTGTGGCCAACCGGGCTATTGACCCATTGCCACATTATGTATAACAACCACAGTAAGCCCATATTCGGGCGAAGGTGCGGTGCAAGGGGAAGTAGCTAGTCCTATTTCAAGGTATACAGTCATATTGTCATATTTCTTTGGGCACTGTTTTTGCCTTCACGTATTAGGATTGTGTGGATGATGCAAGACTTCGGATTTTGCAGGCCTTCATGATTCAAGCTTTCGTTGTTGCTTTGAAGGTGCAAGGCTTAGATGGCAGGATGTTTTCCTGGAATGCTGATCCTTTTGAGTAGGAGTTGGCACGGCTCACCCCTGTGAACTCAATTCCGGTAGCAAGGTGGCGCGGTTTCTTCCCTTGCGACAGGTCCCATCTCAACGCCTCTTTTTGCACAACCATTGGCTTACAAAAATTAGTTTTAAGAAAGGACAATCCGTCTTCGATCATGCTAACCAGTTGCTTGCCTGGGCCTTGAGTATGCTTTTCACCCGAAGTGAGGACCATCCTTTTGCTTGTGGATCCAGGGTTGGCAAGGGTGTCTAGGCTGTTTCTGAGAGAATCTGCTGTGCTCGCCCCCGCTGACAGGGCGTTTGAATGGTCAAGACAATGTCTATATTTGCAGATGTTTCTGAAAAGAGACAATGTTTCGTTGCGGGAGTAGCAACCTCGTCCACCCCAAAGTTTTGTTTGTCACTGCTGACTAAGTCCTCGGCGTTGGAAATTGTCCAGCAGTTCAGAACTTAACTGTTGCGGCCGGTTGACAAAGAGTCAAACACATGAGCAAGCTGTAAGCTCTAGATAGTAGAGGAGGGCTGAGGTAAGTCTCTAGCAAGTTGAAGGGCTAGGACGGTGCAAATTTGCCAATCTAAGCGAGCGATCAGGTGGTTGTTTAGAAAGAGCACAAATGCTTTGTTACTGATGAAGCTGAAGCCCTTGCTATCCCTTTTTCAGGTTGGTTGACTGGGGTCTTCCTCTCACCTCTGGGGCTTTTGGCCAGGCACCCACTGTTGAATTGAATCAATTTAACGTGTATACAAGAAGAAGTGCACCATGGAACGGTAACCCTAGAATGCTGGCAGTGCAGGACTGTTTCCCTCTCATGCTAGGGAATCACCAGTCAACCAAAAGGGTTCTGGTCATGAACAGACTTGCGTGCGGATATTTGGCTCAAGGCCACCAGTGAGAAAAAGGCGCGTGTGGGCGTCGGGTCTCGCGTTTTTGTGGCCGCTCCGAGAGGCGGGAGGCGTGGGTACAATCAGAAGCTGAGACATTTGCAAGAGGGGATTGCGCAAGGGCTTTAGAACAGATATCCTTTTGTTCTTCCTGGCGGACACGCCTACGCAGAGCGTTGGGGATTTGCAATTGTTGAGTCTGTTCTTCAAGGTGGACGGGAGTGGGGAGAGACTGAGTGCGAAGAGGAGGGAGCAGGATCTTCAACCGTTCTTGAAACGCCGGCCCAGAAGGCGAAGCCAGCGCCACCGATTGTTCCAGTCTTTACGACACAGGTCATTTCGGTGCCATCGAAGGCAACAGTTAATTGAGACTTCACAGATTGTTTCGGCGCCGGTGCCAGCGAAGCCGAAGGTGAGACTTGCGACAGCTTCAAAAGGAGTTCCGCAGAGCAGGGCTACAGAACTTGGAGTCGAGCGTGAGGTTACAGAACTTAGCACGCGGAGCGTCACGATTCATCAGACGGAGGTGACGTCATCAGCAGACTTGGAACCGATCCGAGAGGTGATTCGTCCGACAGAGGTGATTCGTCCGACATCCACTCCAAATTGCGAAAGTCTTGCCGAAGCCGCCACCAAAGGAGCCGCCTTTTCCGGCTCCAGCATCGACAACAACATCGAAGTCAGCGCCTCCTCCGAAGGCGCTACCAGTGCAGTCGTTGAGGCCGAATCCATTCTTGCTCCCGGACGCAGTTCTTGCCTACGAGAGGTCGCAAGGCCGGGCGGGCGATAGCTTTGAGGAGTTGAGATCGTATCGGAACTTCAACGGATTGTTGCCGGAAGACGGTGTTGAGCGCAAGTTTATTCGTTTCCTCGATTACCACCAAGTGCTTGACAGGGGCGTGGCCGAGTCAGCATCGTGGACACATCAGATCCCAAGAGACAATCCCTATAGATCGGGTTAGACAATTTCCTGCCTAATAGTCAATTCCATAGTTAACTCTAACTTTTTAACTATTAGTTAAAAATGCTTTTTGTATAAAGAGATAATTTTTCAAATTGTATATTGACTATTCTACTCTAATTTTTCTCTAATTTTTGAGTTAACTATAAAATTGCCCCTGGAATTATAGTTGAAAATAAGGCAAAACTCATTCACTTCCTTCCCAAGAATCATATGGCGTGGAAGACTTTTCTTTTGCGCACACTAGATGTCCATGATGTCCAAACAATCCTAGATGTCCAAACAATCCTAGCTGAGCATAATTCCTTTTCTCATGTGCCCACAAGCTTGGCAAATGCTACACACCAATGCTGCAAAGCTTTGCTGCCGCATTGGTACATAGAGGTGCCTCTGGTGCAGTTCTGTGCAATAGCTCGAGTGATGCCCATGTAATCCTCATTGGCATAGCACCATGTCAGCTTGGGGTTGCAAGTGTGCACATATTCTGCACAATGCATCAGGTAGTGGGACTTGGCAGTGACCTGGAAGATTGGTCCTTTGATGCTGTCATCATCTGCAAAGTGCTGGTAGAGCTGGTAATTCAAGTGGCACATTTGCTGGGCAGCTTGAAGGAAAGCTTTGCTTTCTTCCACAGAGAAAAGGTCTTCTCTCTTCTTATCAGACATCATCTTCTCAATGAAACAATTTGATCTCAGCATATGGGCAATCTTTCTGTGCACTTCTAGTGCTTCATTGTGGTGCCTCAACCATACATGGTACAGAGGTTCAATCACACCTTTGACTTGTGAAAGATTTTGTCTAGGTTCAATCACACCTTCAATGGTTCAATCACACCAGGTGTGCTTACCAGTAACAGTTCTCATGAAAGATTTTGTAAAGTTCCTTCTCACACAAACGGTGTATCGAATCTTCTTGTCCTGTGTCTTGTACCAGTTCTGCCATGTAGGTGAACTTGTTGCCATGACCAACTTTCCTGCTGGAGTCTTGGTGAACAGTTTGTTGACGAGATCAGTCTTCCACTGTCGACCACCTTCTCCCTTAGGCGCCTTTTCCAAAAGGTCTTTGATCTCCTCTGGCAAGTTGCCACTTTTTGACAGCCTGCAACATTTGTGAGAGATGAGATGCCAGAAACAACCCTAATACCTGCAAAATCCTAGTCAGAAGCAACCCCTATGACCAGAACAACCCCAGTGAGAATCAATCCTACTACCTGCACATCCTAGTCAGAAACAACCCTATGACCAGAACAACCCCAGGGAGAAACAATCCTAATACCACCACAATCCTAGTCAGAAACAGAGATGGCCAGAACAATCCTAGTGAGAAACCATCCTATGACTAGCACAATCCTAGTCAGAAACACTCCTATGACCAGAGCAACCCTAAGTCATGCTATGTTGGCAACTGCCTTGCAAATTTGCGAGCTTTTGCATAGTCCCTCTTGTCCCCTGCAGTGGAGTCTTCACCTGCATCTTTCTCACTTTCTTCTTCTTCTTCTTCTGGCTCCTCATGGTCAGACGCAGAGCCACCATCCTCCTTGTCGGCCTGAATCTTTCTCCAGGCAGCAGCTTTCTCCCTCAAAGGTGCTGGCTTGGGCTTTGCTTTGGGAGCAGGATTTGCATCTTCACCTGTCTTGCCCTTACCTTCACCTTTCTTCTTGTCATCCTTTTTCTTGTTGCCCTTCTCATCTTTTTTCTTTGGTGACTTCAGGCTCTTTTTGATAACTGCCTTGGGCTTCGCTTTTGCTTTTCCTTTTGCCTTGCCCTTGGGTTGAGCCTTGGCTTTTGCTTTCATGGGGCTCTTTGGTGCTTCGCTTTTTCCTTTTGCTTTGGTCTCAGTTGGTGCCTCTTCTGCAGCATCCTTTGTTTCTTCTGGGATGTCTTTCACTTTTGCGTCCTTCTTTTTCCCATTGCTAACAATCCTAACTGTTGAGCTGGCAAGCTGTGCTTGAACAAAACCGACCTGGTAAGAATGCAACCAATGCTTCTCCACACAACGCTACCCAAAGGATACAAACAGCAAACACCATCCCAGAAGAACCACAACAATCCTAGAAGAACCACAACAATCCTAGAAGAACCACAACAATCCTAGAACAACCACAACAATCCTAGAAGAGCAAAGTACTGTAAGCCAACCAAAAGGCTCAGTATGATGAACAATCCTACACAGCAACCTTCAATAATATCGTAGCAAAAATGGTTGAGGGCATAGCAAAAGTTCAATAGTATGAGATTGAAAAAAAGGATTAGCATAATAATTGTACTTAAAATATTATCAAAAACTTGCAGATGATGCGCAAATTTATTGAAAGTTGCATTCAATCTTTCACATCCCAAGTGAAAGTCTATTGAAAGTTGCACTGAAACTTTCACTTCTCAAGTGAAAGTTTGTTGAAAGTTGCACTGAAACTTTCACTTCTCAAGTGAAAGTTTGTTGAAAGTTTCATTGAAACTTTCACTATGATTGTGCAAGTTTATTGAAAGTTTTACTAAAACTTTCATTTCATTTTATGTTTTAAATAAACTTTCAATTTGACAGTGAAAGTTTCATTGAAACTTTCAACAAACTTGCAATTTGAGAGTGAAAGTTTCATTGAAACTTTCAACAAACTTTCACTTGAGAAGTGAAAGTTTCAGTGCAACTTTCAACAAAGTTGCACCATCAATCAAGAACAAAACCTATTCAGAACAATATTTTAGACAAAATAGAACAAGTTTTGATCACACATCTGCAAGATTTATGTTATGATTCTCAATTTTCCAGTCCTTGGAATAAGTCAAAAGCATTCCTCAACACAGTTTTTCTGTCCAGTGTCCTACTCTTCCAGTGCTTGGATTGAGTCAAAAACAATCCTACAAGCCTTGAACTATCTTGTATATATTATATATTTTGCTTTTTCCATTCACCATATTTTCTCTCCAGTTGCCATTGTAGTCTTCTCAGCTGGGTCTTCGCAGCTTGTGCCTGCCAGAAGTCAAACAGAACAGTTGGGCCTATGTTTAAAACATCGCCTTTGCAACTTCAACCAAAAATAATATGCAGTCAGGTGATCTCAGTTGCAACTGCTAAGAAAAGATATCAGCTCTGCCTTCAATCCTTCTTCTTGCTGTTCTTGCTTCCAGGGCGCTTTTGGGTGTCACCTGACTCAAAGGTGAGGAGCTACCATCTACTTGTGCAGCAACAATCCTAACCATTGATATGATGCTGCTGTGAAACTCAGTTCAATTTGGTATGACAATGAACAATCCTAAGAGCACAACATTGCAATCAGTTTTCCCCTCAGTGAGAAGAAGAGACAACAAAAAGAAGAAGAAGAGACAACATCCACAGTGAGATCAAACAGCCTCAGCCTACCCAATGAATCAATGAAGCTATATCTGAGACCCAGGCTCTCAATCTCCGGTTGCCTGAGCAAACAGGTTTCAGCCAGACTAGGTCCAAGAACAATCCTGGGATCACAACAATCCTAGGTTTCATCAAGACTAGCTCCAAGAACAATCCTAAGGTCACAAGAATCCTAGAGAGTTGCACTCACAATAATCCTAAAGATTGGTGAACGCATGGCAATCCTAGAGATCCTTTTGAACAATATGCAATCCTAGAGATTTGTAAAAGGCAAGGTACCTGTCAGGCAGTGGTGGAGGAGACTTCCCCAGCCAGCTCAGGAGCTCCCTGTTGGCTGTCTTGCCTTTGCCCTTCACCTCCAGCAAGTGGCCCATTGCTTGCTGCTGCCTGTACTCCACAGTCATGCCGCCAGGCAACTCCAAGTCCCTGGCACTGCCACTGCTGCTGTAGGCCTTGCTTGGTGCCTTCCCCAACCAGCTCAGCAAAGACCTGTCAGGCTCCAAGTTGGTGCGCACC